AGCCTCCAGAACACCAAGGAGGACACAGACACTGAAGTCCATACGGCCCAGTCTCTCAGTCTCCAGAACCACAGGGAGGACACAGACACTGAAGTCCATACGACCCAGTCTCAGAAAGAGATACTGGACTCATCAACAGACTGAGCCTCTACCGTCCAAAACCAGCGACACATTTTCACACAGAACAGTGGCTTCTTTTCATGATGATTATAGTGTGAGTAAAAGCATTTCATAGCTGAATTTTCCCAAGTAAGCCAACGGAGAATTAATCCATATTTAACTCAACTGACATTTGAACAGGGGACCTATTCATAGAGCAGGGAATGTACTACAGCAATCCAAGCAAGCAACACGCCAGCCTGGGAGCCGAACTCTCGAGGACAGAGCCCAAAAACCCTTACCACTGCTCTATACGAGTTTCCCCCAGTGCCATTGAGCCATGTGCTTTACCATTAGAGAACCGCTGAGCTGTAAGAGGCTGGTTACGAGAAAGGCCGAAGTGTTCAGGTTGACATATCATATCAACATATCTTCTACACCATGTGTGGAAAAAACGCAAGCAAAATCTTAGGACATACTGTTCAAAGCATAGAATTTAAATCAAGGGATGTGTTAAAAATGAACAACGCTCTGGTAAGGCTGTATTTAGAATATTACGCAGCCATCAAGCACTGGTAAAGACATAGTTGCTCTGGAGTCAGTCCAGATACTTTCTGGGGCTTGAGGGAACGACCTAAACTGACAGGCTGGAGGAGATGAACCTTTTTTAGTCCTGAACAGAGAAGACTGAGAGTACTGCAAACCACAAAGGCACTGATCATTTCAAACCAATGAAACACGGACCACTGGGCACAAGTGGAAGAAGCGCAGCTAAAAATCGACAACAGGAAGCACTTCTTTACACAAAGGGTTGTGGGAGTGTGGAGCGAGCTGTCCCAGCCGCGTCGCTGTGCCCCATCAACATAAACCCCAAACACTTCAAACGAAAGAGCGAGAATCGTCCATCGCTGCTTCCGTCGACTCACCTGCCGCCGGTGTGCGCGTCGCTCACGAAGTTTGTTGTCGTTCCGTGAAGCGCCCTGCACGCAGGACGTTTACCCTGTGGAAGGATTTCTCTCGCATTCCCGCTGACTTTGCTTAAAACATGCACCCCGAAGAAGAAATACACTGCTTGTCACCACGCCGTCCCGTCTTTAAAACTAGGTGCGCACAGCAGATGTAATTGAAAGAGCAGACTAAGAAGGCGAGGATGTTTCCCCCAGATATCGCAGGCACACCCCTCTGCCCGGGCACATCAACAGCTTGAAACGGCAAACTCACATGGTCGCCTGTGAGGACAGCCCCGCGGCACACGGTCACAGCGCAGGGCGAAGGTCGTCACCGAGCCCGCTGGGGGAGCCGCTGCAGTCAAGGTCGGCGTCTCTCGCTACTCCATCATCCCGCCCGGTCATGAAGAGGTGCGCGTCCGGGGGGCAAGGACGGAAAATCTGCGGCCAAACTGCGCTCCCGGAAAGCGACTCGCCGGCGAATTAATGCCCAGTCCTCTGGGCTGCGGGCAGCACAGACACCAGCCAGGCGGCGAATCAGAAACGGTCCCTCACCCGCACGGCCCCGAGTCCAGCCAGCGGACCTCCTGACGTCAGTCAGGACCAGAAACACGAGGTCAGGGGTGAATTAATAGGCCGGGGCCGGCGCTCGCGTCGCCTGGGTACACCGGCGGCAAAGAGACACAGATGCCGCGGTGGCACACGGCGCTCGACCCGGCTGCGTGTTACCATATCGACTCCTCTAAATACGCTATTGTGATCAGACAGGAAGGGAGGAGCCTCGCTCGCCCAGCGAGGGCTGCTCTCCTCGTCGGGGATTTAAGCGAAAGGGACGCGATTGAATAAGCGGTGGTCCGCGTTACCGTCCGGGGAAGTTCTCCCCTGTCCGGCAGACCGAAAGCGCGCCGGGCTGTAATGCGCCACAGCTCTCCGCGGCCGGACACGCTCCGCTGCCCGTGTCCCCCCGGGGCTGGCCGCAGCCCGGGTAACTTGAGGTCACGGGCAAGGAAACAAACGGCCCACTCGCACCGAGCCGGGAGCACGGACAGACACGGGTGACCTCAGCGCCGTCAGACCCCGCACCAGCGCCCACGAAACCTCTCTCATGAGTACGAGGGAGAGCTGCGGAACATCTTCGTATGAGTGATCGAAGAGTTATTTTCATCTGTTTTCCTTTCTAGCTTTATTTTTTACCTGCGTTTCTGCGTTGGGGGTAGTTCTGAGCCAACAGCACATTTCTTAATCGTGTCAGTTTTATTGAAGGGAGGCATGTCTAAGTAATATAAGACAAAGGATTCCGTATTATATCTCGATTCTAAGCATTCGGGAATTACTAAAATCAAACTGTAAGACATGGCAAAGCGGAAAAAAGTCCCTCCACTTTAACTTCCCACGGGCCACCGCAGCTTACATCAACCATCTTACTCCCAGATGCTAAGAGGGTGCAATTAAAGAATTATACTTCTGTATAATTAGAGTAAAAACGAGTTGCCTCCCTATTCCGGGACTGTCCCAGAAATATGGAAGAAAGGCGGTTATTAATTTGACTGTTGGGGTTTGTAATTGTTCCTACAGAATCTCAGGCTTGGAGCTGGGGGAGTTGGTCTGTCTTACCGAGTTTTGTGATTTGAGAACGCGTGGAGCAGGACCAGGACACTCCTGTGATGTCACGGTTTCCTCCCTGCTGGGGTTTGGGGGAATAGTTCCTCGCACTGATCAAGTCAGCGCAGAGAGGGGTGGTGCACCTCGGTGCGAGGCAGGCACAAGGCAGGACACACCCTGGACAGGACGCCAGTGCATCGCAGGGCAGAGACAGAGACAGAGACAGAGACACACACACACACACACTAGGGCCAGTGAACCTACTGTAACAGTGTGCCTTAGGACTATGGATGGACACCCACAGTGACAGCACCCTGGGAATGGAGCCCAGAGCCCCAGTGCCCTAGTAACCCCTGCACCACGCCCACTGGACCCCTTCTCCTCCAGGGGTTTGACTTGGGCTCCTGAGACACAAGGCAGAATTGTCCAGGTCTGGGAGGAACCTGGACTGTTCTGTTCCTCACAGGGTCTCCGAGTGTTCCAACACAGTCCAGTGTAGTTCTATACACCTCTCTCTCTCCCTTTCACAACAATTACATCTGGGGAACCTTGACCAACAGTGAAAAATAAATCCTAAAAAAACACAGTTTGACCACAATTCTTAGGTGAGCTTATTGGCCGTCTAGAGCCAGAGTATTTACTTGCTTGTTCGCGACGAGGAAAGGCGGTTCGGCTCATTAATGCTGGTCCTCTTCCTGGGCACAGTCATTAGGCCTGAAGCCAGCGGGACCCCAACATCACAGTGTCTGGAAATGGCTGAAGGAGACAGAGGGATTGTACGACTGCTGCCTTCAAGACAAGGGTGAACTTCCACACTCTCATACAGTTGTACTTGCTAAAGGCAGCCGGCTCTTCCCCTCAGGCAGCAGCAGTCTCAGTGCAATACCCTCCTTCACACTGGCGCAGTCTCTCTTAATGAGTATTTTTAATGTCATTTGCTTAGTGCTAAATATTTAACAAAATCTAGCACAACATTACAGGTACTCTCAATTAATTATTCTTTAAAGCATTTGTTTAACCGAAAATGTGGATTTTTTTTCTTTTATGGACACTAAACTAATAATAAACTAAACAATATTTAACTCTTTTGAATTCACACTCAGGATTTTATGATAAAGCGTGTGAAAAGACCGATAGCGACACCTGGCGGTCAAAATCAAAACAACACACCGACGTTACCGCGCAGCGCTTTAGAGAAGCGCTTCTCAACGGGTTTGTCTCCAGGCGTTTAAGTGAACGTCGTGACATTTTGGAAAACATCTGAAAACAATAAAATAAAGGCATGAATGTATATATTCAGCACACACTCACAAGACAGAGACCACTCTGAGACTCCGCAGGAGAGAGTGACTACTGTGGTGCCAGTTCAGGTTTTCAAGTCTGGCTTGTATTTGAAGGGGTGATGAAGGCTTCGGCCTGCCTTCCTCATGCAACCTCTGAGAGGTCCTTCATGGTCACTGCAAGCCAGGCCAGTCCTGCTATCTGTGGGCTGCACCTGCAGCACGCGCACACAGGGCGGAGATGGGGGAAGAGGTTTAATTTGATTTGAGGTTTTCAGTGATCAGTGCTCAAGGCCCCACTGCCCAGAAGCTCAGGGAGCTGCAGTGACTGTGAGCAGCGATCGGGATAGAGCAGGCCATGTGACCAGTCACAGCTGGCAAAACTATCCTGTCGTTGTCCAAGTGCATAAATACAAAACACGGAATTCAACACGTGAAAGACATCTGGAAATGACTTGGTTTTTAACTCTAATAAAAAGCCTAACATTAACATTGCTTACACTTATACAGCTCTTTTCTGGACACTCCACTCAAAGCGCTTTACAGGTAATGGGGATCCCCTCCACCACCACCAGTGTGCAGCTCCACCTGGATGATGTGACAGCAGCCAGAGTGCACCAGAACACTCACCACACACCAGCTCTCAGTGGGCAGAACAGAGTGATAAAGCCAGTTCAGAGATGGGGATTATTAGGAGGCCATGATGGGTAAAGGCCAGGGGGACATTTGGCCAGGATGCCGGGGTAAACTCCTGTTCTTTTTGAGAAATGTCCTGGGATTTTTAATGACCACAGAGAGTCAGGACCTCGGTTTTATGTCTCATCCGAAGGACGGCGCCTTTTTACAGTTTAGTGTCCCGTCACTATACTGGGGCATTAGGACCCACAAAGACTGCAGGGTGAGCGCCCCCTGCTGGCCCCACTAACACCTCTTCCAGCAGCAGCCTTAGCTTTCCCAGGAGTCTCCCATCAAGGTACTGACCAGGCTTACAGCTGCTGAGCTCCAGTGGGCTGCCAGTGGTGAGCTGCAGGGTGATATGGCTGCTGGCAAACACCACAATTAACAACATACTTCAGGTCTGCCTTAATCCTCTAGGGCTCAGTGCTGCAGAGCAGGTTCCCTTACACCAACACCAGCTTATACCCTGAGAAAGATAGGAAATTCATTCTTTAAAGAAAACAACTCTTTCAAACAAGTAACAGGAAGATGGGGAGAAAGAAGGACTTTATTCTACAGAACTTTCATTGAATCTGTCCCAGCAGTCCCTGCGAGGGCCTGGTTTGGTAACCTGGAGACACACAACAATAACAGACCGAGTGGGATAGTGAAGGAAGCCAGCAAATTTACTGGAGCACACCTAGAGCATCCAGACATCTACACAGACTAGGACTGCGGAAGGCCAACATAGCCACTGACTGTCATGACCACTGGCTTAGACGCCTAGATTCAAGAGCAACAGCACTAAGTCACCCTTTATTCCCACAGCTACTTACCCCTGGGAGAACTGGCTGTATACTTTACTTTATTTCTATACAGTACATGTACATCTCATGTTAATGGCTTGGTGTTGCCTTAAAGCTGTTGTGTATTATGTTAGGTCTTTACCTGCCTGCAAAGCAAATTTCCCATCTGGGACAATAAAGGAAGGAAGTGAAAGAAAACCTGAGGAATCCGTGGGCTCCAGACCCAGGGCCGGTCTGGAGCAGTTTCTCCTGTGACCACTCGACCAGCAGGGCTACTTCGCTGGCAAGACCACAGTGTGAACAGAACAGACGCAGTCAGGCTGGCGGTAAAGGACACATCAGGAGCATGGAGGGGAAAAGAGCCAAACGGCTGTATTCTGCAAGACTCCTGGGAAGTCCAGACCGAGGTACCGACACAGTGAACTTGCACGCACAGGAATGGAGTTAAAAACAAAGCACCTGGAGGAACGGAGGCGAAGGCACTTCATGCAGCTTGTACCCGGCGTTCGGTTTCTGCTACTGTATCGTTCCTCAGAAAAGCACTCTTGTCTCCCAGCCTGTGTTCCGTCTCTGGTCAGTTCTTCTTCGCGTTTCTCATCACCTGCTGGTATTCCTCCGACTGGTAGTAATCGGACTCCCTCCTGAGGCTGAGGTCTGACAGAGTGACGAACAGGTCTCCGCTCTCCTCGTGCACCGCGTGGGTCCTCTGCTTCGGGCCCTTGGATCCCCAGCTGGCCCTGCGCTGGGGGTCCCGGGGGTCCACGGCCTGGTACAGCCCCTCGCCCTCGGCCAGCGTGATCCTGTACTTGTGCCAGGGGCACACGATGCACTGCCTGCCCTCCACGTCCTACAAGACACCGGACACGGAGGATCTCAACCACAGGAGCCAGGTCTCGACTCCCCTGCGAGCGCCACTCTGTGGGATCTGTTGTAAGAGACTCTGGCTGAAGCGAAACGGAGAGTATCAGATGAGCTTGAACTGTTTATTGGAGTAGAGACAGTGTGTATATGGTTCATAGATGATTTAATTCTTATTAAAAGTTAAATAAAGTTATTATTATTTTAACAGGTACTTGCCTCGATGTCCCCGAGATATAAGGGACCCCCTGCATCTGTAACAAGAAGGACGATTAGCAGGCAAGACCGTAACCCTGCTGACGCCTGCCCGAAGTGTACTGGCTACTGCCGTTTTAATGCACACCAGCACTGTTATAATAGGGGGAGAGACAGAAAAGGCTGTTAACTAATGCTCTCATTCTGTCCCCTACAATAACGGGACAAACATTTTCAAGACCTCTTGCAGAGGAAGTGTGACAGTCACAGTTCCACGTGGGGTCGTGCCCCCCGCCACCCGTTCCGGCCCTCACACCTGGGGCGCGAACCCGGGTCTCCGGCGTAACACAGCAGGGCACCAAGCGCGTGAGCTCAAGGAGACCTCCCCCAGCCCAGGTGGCTGAGGACCCTGCTGCGCGCAGGGAGGGCGCTGACGTCACCCCACCAGCTCCGCTACAGAGGCCTGGAGGGAGCACACATCAAGGCACTGGCTCTTAGCCTTAAAGTGTTCAAATCCAGTTCTGAAAGGGCAACGCATAGTTTTTATTCTCGTGTTACAGAGCTACACCAGTCGCGGAGAGACACTTTAATCTAAGGGTCCCCAGATCCAGTGTTTGTGGGGTGCCAGTTCGAACACTTCAACTACGGTACAAACAATAACATTTGCACCTTATCTTGGCCAAGTCTCACGTCATCCAGGCTGACCGAGAGCTGGGCGGCAAGCCGGACTTCAGCCCTAGCGGACGAGAGCTCGGGACACGGGGGGAAGGCGAGGAGTCACCCCAACGATGGACGGGAGACGAAGGGGTCGTCCTGACATACTCACGGTAGCACAGCCTGTCCATGGCGTAGAACGCGCCTGCATGGTGGATAACCACCACTTCCCTGCCGTGCACGACAGCCAGCGCCCTCCCAGACCGGACGACGTCCTCTTTCTTTCCCACAAACGCCGAGAGGACCCCCCCGTCCGCGGAGGGCATGCTGAGCTCGGCAGCCAGCAGCGCGCTGGCAGGTCCGCAGGTGCCCACTGGGTCTGCCAACGCCGTGAAACCCCTGACCCGAAGCAGAGAGAAGGGCAACAGGTATAAAAAACAACACAACGCTGAATAAATCTCAGACGAAAAGAGAGGCGATGAACCCCATCACAGGGAACACACCAGAGGCAGCCAGCACAACCAGCCTCGCTGCTGAAGCCAATACCCCGGCTTCTGGCAGGGACCAGCTGGATGAGATCCAGGGATCCACTTGATGATCAACTACCGAAGGGGCTAGATGGGTCAAATGGCTTCCTATCATGTGAGAACTTCCTTATGTTCCTATAAAGAGTCCACCGCACTGACCTCCATATGTGATCGGTTATTAATCGGCTCAAGGTGACAGTTTTTGGCCAGGGCTGACAGAAACAGGGCTATGGTTCAATACCATGTGCAGCGTAATTAACCGCGAAGGAAAGGCACACCCCACTCACCAGCCCACCGGTCGTGCAGGGAGGGGGGGAGGCAGGAAAGCTGTTAGTAACGGCCCCTCCACTGGAGACCGTGCAAGCTCAGGAAGAGAGTACGCGGAGGGAGACCAGCTTCCCTGAAGACCCGAGTTCTCCCGGAGGACCTGTATTCCCCCTGCGAAATACCCGCATGCCGTTATGTCCGGGACACCTGATTCTTCTCATCCTGGGCGTATGCAATGATTGACGTGTAACAAAAAGAAGACAAAACACACACGCAACACAATTGCTATCGGTCCCCCTCTCTCATGTAAGGAAAGTTCAGCGTTCATGCACCGGGGGGCGGTAATGCTGTACACCACTCATGAAACACACAGAGAAACCGAGATAAACACGTGCGGAGAACCGGCACCGTCCATCTGTGTCTCAAGGAGCCAAGGCACCAAGATCCATGCAGGAGCTCCTGCTATTATTAACAGCTGGTGCTGCTTTTAATAAGAAACTAATAAGCTACAAAGCTTTGTGGAGCACGTTGACATTACAGATTAGGGGTGCAGATTCCCAGAGAGACTGTACTGGAGGGGTACAGATTCCAGGAGAGACTGTACTGGAGGGCTACAGATTGAGTACAGGGGTACAGGGGGACCAAACTGGACGCGACACCAGCTGTGTGTACGTTCACCTTTACTTTGATGTCCGACACAAACCAGACATTAAAATAAAAGCCGGCGGGTCAGAGAAATACCCAGACGTCGCCGCACTCACCGGTCTGCCGTCCTGTCAGACGTTTCTCATCCTGGTGACACCGCAGACCCAAGCAGCACAGGTCAGAAACAGAAATATAATATAGATCTATTCCCCTGAAACAATTTTCTGCGTTTTCCTGGCCGGACTGAAATCACGGGAGCACCGCAGTCCGCGAGACGCCACGACCTGGACACGTGACACCCCACGTGGTGCTGAAGCAGGAGAGCAGATTTTCACAACGAACAAACAAAAACTCTTATTTCTTGCAGCTGTTGTAGCGAAACAGATACTTTTTCCCCTGTGAATTGTACTTTCTGAATTGCACTTATTTGGAGTTGCACATCAAATGAAACAGCGGGATCCGTTTGTTCAGCGCGGATAAATTCAGGCAGCATCACCAAAATACCCGTTTTAATATTGTTGGCTAAAGTCGAACTCGAAAACAACTGTCCAAGATCTAAGATAAATTAGATGACTTAGAGCAACAAAAAAAATATTTATTTTTCACCTAAATACACGAACACGTATTAAGCTGTTATCATGGCGCGCTTGTAGTGTATATAGAAATGGGTATGACATATTTCACTGAAACAAGAATTAAATTCTCCCTTATATGTTTATATCATTTTAATTCACAGCTCGTGAAGCGCGTCGGTGAAACGGTGCTCCCCGCGGCTGCTGCAGAGCCGGACAAGTGCGTGTTCTGAAGGTGTGTGTTCCACCGCTAGATGGCGTGCGCGGCCTCTCCAGCCAACAGGTGAAGGCCGATCCCACGCTGAAAGGAAAAGCGTGAACTCCTGACTCTCGAGCTGCTGTACTGCTGTTCCGAAACGGCGCCGAGGTGTCGAAACGGGGCTAAAAGTTCGTCCATTCCTCCCGTTTCTAACGGATGCATCCGATTCAGGGTGGCGGCGGAGAGATGAGCGCCAGGCAGGGCCCACCAGACCCCTGCACACTCACACACACACTCACACACACACTCTCACACTCACACTCGCACACAATCACACTCACACTCTCACACTCACACACGCACACAATCACACTCACACTCACAAACACGCACAATCACACACACACTCACACACACTCACACTCACACACACACTCAAACTCACACACACGCACAATCACACACGCACAATCTCACACACACACACACAATCACACACGCACAATCACACACACACGCACACTCACTCACACACTCACACTCTCACTCACTCGCACACACACTCACACACTCACACACACACTCACTCACACTCACACACACTCACACTCTCACATTCACACACACACACACACACCAGGAGTTTCCCAGGAGCGTATTAACCTGCCAGCGTGTCTGCAGTGGGGCACTGACACCCCACACGAACACGGGGATCGCAATG